GTGTTTGGGCCTTGGTTTTGGTTAGGTTAAGGATAAAATAGTCTTTTTACCCCAAGCATGGACTTATGGTTATGTATTGAAACCCAATTATTAATTGGGTGTTGTTTTGATGTTGACAGTTCGGGAATTTGTCAACCAGCAGCTAGAGTTTTATTTGTGGGACTTTAGCAGTGCGAGGTGAGTCTCCTTACCATACCAATGGGTCGAAGGCACCAAGGCCGGCCCATTTTACGATATGTGGTACACTAGTTGATATAGTGTTATGTGGCATGTTAGCTGGTTATGTGCTAGGAGGTATGCTAGTTGTATATGTATTATACTTGTATGGAAGACCATGGGAGAGCCCATGACACTTGGATGTAAGACCATGTGGGGAGCCTATGGCTTTCCTATTAAAGACCATGGGGGAGCCCATGACACTTGGATGTAAGATCATGTGGAGAGCCCATGACTTTCCTATTAAAGACCATGTAGGGAGCCCATGACACTTGGATGTAAGACCATGTGGAGAGCGCATGGCTTTCCTATTAAAGACCATGGGGGGAGCCCATGACACTTAGGTGTAAGACCATATGGGGAACCCATGGCATCCTGGAGTAAGACCCTGGGGGAGCCCACGACATCCCTATATGTTGTATGCATGACTTATGTGGTTTGTGTAGTTTTTATAGCTAATATGGTATATGTGATTATCGTGATTGATATGGCTTACGTGATTGATATGACTTATGTGATTGATATGGTTTATGTAGCTGTTATAGCTAAAATGGATTATGTGGTTATTTGGATTGTGTGGGATATGCTCTGGGAAACTCACTAAGTTTCGTGCTTACAATTTTGTTTATTGTTTCAGGTATCATCGGTTTGGAAAGAAAGTGTTCGGCTTGATCGCAACACACACACCCATGTTTTCTGCAATGAATGATTTTGGGATGAACTTTGACAAATGTTTTAATTAACGATGTTTTGAAATGTTTGGAATAAATGATATCTATGTTTTGGCTATATTAAAAATGAAATTTTTACCCTTGATTTTTGGGTCGTTACATGTATGTGACATTCGAGACCACTGATAGTTCTAGGGCTGCTGATAAAACATAGCTGATTATTATGTTGTGTTGTATGTAATATCTTGGGGGACTCATTAACATTTGTGCTTACAGTTGTGGATTAACTATTTTGCAGGTACTTATCAGATTGCGAAAGCGGGATTGTACACATACATCAACAAATTTATGATTTGAGTTTTACATTGTCTTCTTAACTCTTATTCCTGAATAATGGTTACGAACAAATGGTTTGACTTGAATGTAATTTTTATTAAAATGGAATTTAAATTACACAAAAAATGAAAATTTTAGTTTGGGATTTTTAGGATGTTAAATTTTATTATGCATAAACCTTTAGAAACCCAAAAATCTAGAAAATCAATAGAAATACATAGAAAAAAAATACCTTGAGATATCTATTTTTTTACTTATAGGGCTAAAAATCGCAACTCTTTATACCGATTTACTGAAAAAAAAATTGAAATTTTTTTTATATAAAAGGTATTTTTTTTCAATGAATTTAAATAAAAAATTGTGATTTTTAGCCTTGTAAAGTGAAAAAAAAAATTAGATATTTCAAGGTATTTTTTATACATTTGTAGGGTTTCTAGGGCTTTTTTTAGGTTTATGCATTTTCTATTGATTTTGTTTTTATATATATATATATATATATATATATATATATATATATATATATATATATATATATATATAATCTTTGAGAATTAGCTTTGACTTTTTATGATTAATGATTATTTGCATTATACATAACATAACATTATTTGTTTTTTTAGCATGTGTTTTATTATAACTGAAGATATTGACATATTTCATAAATATGCTGTGATCATATTTTAGTTTTAAAAACATTAGTTGACATCACGTTGTCCGTCGCCATTATTGGTTAGGTATTTCAATTTTTTAAGCATGTATAAAATACTAAAACGAAAGATTATTTAACATAATGTATCAAATATAAATATAAAATGTTGGAATTACAAAGATTCGGATCGTGATATTTGAACATCGTCTTGTATATGGATATTTATCCACTCAAAAGCCTTTCTTTAGAGTATTACTAGAACTTTTTTACTCAACAATTTTTTAATTTTTTTAAGGTTAATGATTTATAATGTAATAAATTTTATTATGTATATATTGAGTTATTTATGTTTTTTATACACATTTGACAATTAAATTTATTTATCTTGCTCATAAAGTATTATTGTGACTGACTATTGCAGGTTTTGCCGGTTTTTTACATCCATGACAGCACCAACGAGATTACAGTCATCATCTCCAGCCAAACATAATTTTCCACACGATCTAATCATAAGAACACGTACAAACCAAGAAAACACATGAGATCATTTTTCGATTTTCAGAATACAAAAACACACACACAACCCCAATTTTTTTGAAAAACAAACCGAAAATCAAAAACCCATAAATCGATTTCTAAATAACAAATCCTGAGTTCGTGTGTTGGGGGGTGTGTGTTCCAAAACTGAATTATGTTTTTTATGTTTATGTATGTGTTTCATAGTGAATGTCTTGGACATCGTGTTCTTGGTGAACCATAAACCATATGCAATTTCCAGAAATCATTTCGTGTTCTTGGTGAACTAGATGCAATGTGAAGAACACACATGCATCATATGTATTCATGCTCAAAGACTTGTTAAAAAATATTCAAATTTTTCTCATAAATAATTTTGAAGGTTTGATTTGCAAATTTCAACCGTTAAAAGTCACATTTTGCACGGGATTACACTTAACAGACCAAAAATGACAAAGTTAACCAAAAGAACTATATGTGATGGAACCCATGTTTTAGAAAACCACATAGACCATTTATAAAGTTTTGTCTTTATTAATTTTTTTTCTTCTTTTTTATATAACTTTAGTTTAAAAAATTGTAAAATAAAATAAAATAGATATAAAATTATTTATTATAGTTTAGGGATCAATCACGTAAGAAATTAAAACCACATGGACCATCTAGGTAACGGGAAAAACTTTGGAACAAAACTTGCAAATCCGGGAAACTGTTGGGAACTTTTGTGTAATTTTGTCCTTTATTATTTAAAAAAAATCAAAATTTTTTAATATAAATACAAATTTTGTATTTTACTTTCTTATTTTTCTTAATTTCTTAATTCCTCATTTACTTTATAAATCCAAAAATAAAACTTCGAATTTCCCAAAACATTTTATTTAATCTTGTTTTAATGAAATTTGGGCTATACCCTTGTCTAGTAGTCTTGGGCAGTTGGGCTAACTAACTTATGGTCTAAGAATTTCACAAGCCCAATTAAATAGATTAGAAGCCTAAATACATATCTATTTACTTTTAGAATGTTACAATTATTCCATCAAGTTTGTTTGCTTAAAAGAACTATATTTCATAAAATATGATGCTAAAAAATACGGTATTAGTTTAGAAAGTGCGTTGCTAAAAACAACCTTATTTTTCATAAAGCATGTTGTAAAAAACATTATTCTAGAAAATATGTTGCTAAAAACAACCTTATTTCCCAAACCATGCTGCTAAAAACATAATTTCATCAAGTACGTTGCTAAAAATACCTTAATCCATGAAATATGTTGTTGAAAACATCATTCCATAAAGTATGTTGCTAAAAAACTTATTCTAAAAAGTATGTTGCAAAAGAAAAATACCCTTATTCATGAAATTTGTTGCTAAAAAACAATATTCCATAGAGAATGTAGCTAAAAAGAACCTTATCCCATAAAGTATCTTGCTAAAAACATTATTCGATAAGTAAGTTGCTAAAAAAGCTTTATCCAAAAAGTATGTTACTAGAAAACAAAGTATATGTGACAAAAAAAAAAGCGTTTTCTATAAATCCAGTCCATAATAATAAAGGAATGAAATCCACGTAGTCTTTTAAAAAAAATAATTAATATCCATGTATTGTTTGAAGTAATAAATAATGCACATCATTTTTTATCTAGTCAATTCATTTAGAAACTCGCTACCGTAATTTTCCATTTATTAATTCAATTGACTGTTTTTAATTTTAATTTTATTATTTTATTAAAGTATTGTACATTATACACTTTTAAAGTATAATGTTATAATTAGGCATACTATGGAAACACCACTCAGTTATAGCATTATACTTTCAAAATACCATGCTTTAATAAAATAATTAAATATGTAAAAAAACATTTATATATATATAAAACAAAGCATACTTACTTTCATTTCATCTCAAATAGACCTGGTACGTTTAGTATATTTACTTTCAAAATACAAGGCTAAAAAAACAAATATTTACAATTCAAGGCAATATGAAGGTATTTAGGACAAACATTTACATATGGTTGGAAAACATTTCATAATAAATTACTTGTAATAATAATAGTTTTTTTTAGTACTGCAAATTTACTCCTAAACTACTGTTAAATCCACAATATTTTTTTTTAACGTCAAATTTACTCTACTTCTAAACTACTCTTAAATCCAACTATGTTCTTAACAGGACTTGAACTCTCAACTTCAAAGAGGAAAGACAACACCTAATACCGTTGAACTAAAACCCTTTGGTACTTCAAAAGATGAACACTTACAGATATTTTTTACAAACTACATATATTTCATAAATATATTTTTTTCAAGTATTTCATCATTTATAAAGTTTTTAGTTTTTCTATATACCGACAATCTGTTATTTATTTTCATTTTAGTTGTTAGGTACATGTCACCACTGCATGGATAACGTTTGTAAGAAATATCATCATAAATTGATGTCACCTCACAGTTCTCTCTCTCTCTCTCTCTCTCAAATGGACAGCTCTAGCTCAATGGTACTGGTTCTAGTGAGTTCTATCCGATTGTAGCATATAACTTTCATTTTTCTTATTAAGAAAGGTACAGTGCTTTCAATGTGTAGTGTCTTATTACGTCAAAAAAAAAAAAAAAAAAAGCGTAGTATATCATAAAAAGTATTGTTTAAACTCTCGCTGCTACGCATTGCTTAAAGCCTTTACACATTTTAAACGTGTACAAGTACTATTGTTGAACACTTCTACACAGATAAAAGTTACAGCTTCAGCTACCAGCTTTCCAACTTCCGGCTTCCCATTTCCAACTTCCGATTAATATTGCCAAACATACCGTATCCCTAAAAACTTGGAATATATTTTGATCAACTTTAAGGATTTGTTAACTAAATACAATAGTTTGTTCTTCTAACTTCTAAGTTAGCAACAAATCAAGAGAGCCCCCTATAATCTCGAAGTCATAAAGTGAGAAATTAAAAAATAATCAACATTTTTTCAAGTCTCATGTGTCCATATCTACCAAAGAAGTAAAAATCTTTTAACCAAAAAACAAAGAAGATAATTAGAGTGTGCACTTAAATCTCTATGGTCTAAAAAAAACAGTCTTTCTGTTGGTAGCATTTGCTAAAACCCGACGTATAATGGTCAACCATAACCGTATCTAAAAATCTTTTTACCAAATTCTGACAAAAATGCCCTTTGTATTAGGCAATCACCTTCAATGGAACACTTGCTTCTTCTTCATCTGACTTGTGTAATGAGGGCAACGGTTTCTCAGGAGTTTTTTTCAAGAAACCCCTCGCATAAAGAGACCCAAAAACAATAACCTGAAAAAAAATAAAATTATTTAGTAACATGTTTTGACCTTATTATGCCCCTGTTATGATGGATCTCTCATGCGTAAAAGACATAAATGTCCTTCTCATCATAATCATCAAGAATAGCAATACAAAGGTTGTTATGTCTTGTCTGGTCATGTCATGTCAATGGGGCAAAATTTTCAATTTTTTCACACCCAAAATGGTGAAAAAGACATAAATACCCTTCTCATTCTAGAAAGATTGTTTAGTCATGTCATATGATATCATATCATGCCAATAGGACAAAAAATTCAGCTTTTTTTCCCACAAAAATGTGAAACAAGGTGGGAGAGACTCATTTATGCAAAAGACATAAATGCCCTTGTCATCCTAATTATCAAAAACAGATAAATGAGGTCTAAAAAAGGGTGTAAATGGATGCTTACAGCTCCAATGCATTGTTCCACACTAAGGGGGTGGCCAAACCACACACAGGATAGCAGAATGCTCACTAACTACAAAATTTTATTTAAAAAAAAAAAAAAAAAGTTAATGGAGAGTATAAATATAAGGAAGATAAATAATTAATTATATATTTTTTTTTGTTTACTTGTCTAGTGGTCATTATAGTGGCAAATGTAAGAGCTCCAAATGTGCGAATTGTGTAAGATATAAAGAATTGACTTGCTGTTGCAACCTGCAATTAAAAAAAAAAAACAACATATTATGAGATTAAAAAAAATGGTATCCAAAAAAAGTCCACATTTTGACAAAATTGCCCTTGGTAAAAATGGCTTACAGTTGAAAGCAATGCAACATCAAAGAAACAATCCTTGTGGCGAGAAACAAAATCCATTGCCATGAGAAGATTTCCCTGCAAGATTAAACCTAGCAAAATGGAAAAAAAATTAATAATAATAATGATCAAATAATCTCGTGTATAAAATTTTTAAAAAAAAAAAAATGTTTTCAAGATTTGATTAGTTACTTACCAGTTAAGCTGAGTATGCAAGAACAGAGTGTGGTGTAGAAAATTTGATTATAAATTCCCATATCATATCCTTTAAATAATTTATCTTGAAATGTGCTAGTAAACCCATCAAACCTGAGAAATTAAAATAAATAAATAAATAAAAATATCAATGTTTCCACAAAACAGATATGTTTTAAATTATAATGATGATTTTCTGATCATTTAAGGTTAATTAAGTTCAGATAACAATAAGGTAGAAAGTAGCTACATACATATAAATTTATCATTGACATTTGACATAAATCATAAATGTAAGATTACCCAACTACCCCCACCTTCTAACCAACTGATTATCTATCTAATTATCGAGGTAGCAATGATTAATTAGAAAACTGATTATTGAAATTAATGTAAAATTACCAAACTACCCCTACCCGAGATAACCAATCATCAGGGACACTCCCCACACTGTGCTTTCCCTTCCTTTATGGTAAGGAGTTAACTCACTTGCTCCCTACAAAAAGGGTAGAATAAATTCATTAGCATTTGTTGATGTTCTCCCAATTTTTTCAAAATGACAAGGAGGGGTAGAATGGTAATTACTGGGAATAGAATAAATAGTGAACATCCAAGGGTAACTAGTACAGCCAAAAAATAATCTGGCCCTTTGTACTTCTTTTGCATAATTAATGTGCCCCAAATCTACAAACAAAAAAAAATATCATGTAAGAAGAAGTATTAGCTATCTGTAAAATTAATTTTTATTTTCTTTTGAAGGGTAGTATTGTACTTTTGAAACTTACCATTACTGGTATCATTTTGGCACACTTAGCCAGGGTCTGAACAGGAAAGCTAACATATTTAAGAGCCTGAAGATATAAGATAAATCAAGAATGTTAAAATGTAAGCATAAACACAAAGAAATATTTGTTAGTGATAATAAGAAATAAGAATGAAAAGAACATATGACCTCATATTGACATGTTGTAGTTAGTATGTTAGATATTGATACAATACAGTACTTGTAAACTGGAGCAACAGGATCCAAAGCTTTTTTACTTGTCTGTGATGGAAATAAAAGATAGATAAGATAAAAAAGAATGTAAAATGTGGTAAAAGAAATTTTATGAAATGTTGCATTTGTTGAAGAATGTTCATAACTTACCAGTAAAAAAACTGCAGATACTGCAGATGTGGTAATGCGGTTACAGAAAACAAGAAATAACGAATGTTTGAAGAATTCATGGTTTGGACCATATGGAACTCTCATAATCTTCTCCTGTAGATGAAGATTCAAGAAAAGGTTTTAATAATGAATCACTGCACAAAGTGTTAGATTAGATCATGATCATCTCTTTTTTCAATTCTGTTGCCCCTTTTTTTCAAATCAAGATCATTCAATCTACCAAATGAAACATCTTGACAAAAGAAAAACATGGAAATAAGATTGGCATAAACTTTATATTCAAATCAATGAGTTTAAAGCAAAGGATTCGACTTTTTGTATGTTCAAAAAATGCCAATGGTAACAATCATTATTGCAGCTATATTACATCCAAAACCTCGTTTCCCCTAATTTCTTGAGTTTTTTCTCTTCATATTGAATAAAATCAATCGTCTATCTAGTTGCAATTAGCTTGATTTAACCTTCGTGTACTCGATTTAACTTTACAATAAATTCTCCACATAACTCAGCTCGTCTTCACATGTATACAGATGATTACAGAAATGTAACTTTTGGTTAAACAAAACGTACCTGTAAGACACCATAGATGACGAGAGTAGACATAATTCCGACAACAGCGAAAGTACCCTTTAAGAATTTGTTCTCCTTGGCATCTACTAACGGTGGGTCAGTCATACTACCATCCATTAGCAAAACCCGACCACCGCCGGTTTCGAAGGCAGTGTATGTGTATATCTACGACCAATTGAAATACAGAAAAACAAAGATGTTAGATAAACCCTAGGATCAGTCAGAAACCCAGAACCATCGAGTGAAGGGCAAGCTTTTGAATTTATTATATGTGTAGTAAGATGACGAGATCATCGATGAGAAGATTAGCGGTTTCTCCGGCGAGTTCCTCTCCTTGTTTTCACCGGCGAGTTTCTGTATTTATTTCTCAAACCCTTTTAAATTTTAGTTTTGTGGGAAAGCGTACTACTTTTTGTCTGGAAGATGATGGGAGGCACGCCTTTCCGTCTCTCTTACGCTTATTTTATAGGGTCGTCTACATGACTATATGACTATAATCGATGTGTTTGTATTTATTCATTTTTTTGTATTAAACAAATATTCGAAAATTGAAAACGAAAATTTGGGTTTTATGTCTAATATCTTCAACAACTAAAATATGTTCATTATGAATTGCTATGTATTTGGTTGGGGATTTTGGTGGGATTCGTACGTGTTGTGTTTGGATTTGTTAGCTTATGTTTTCGAATGTACATCTTTTGCACGGTTGTTTATAGTTTGAGTTTGGTGTGCGTCTTTTCCTTTCAAAGGTATGCCTTCATTGATAATTTGCCTTTTGTCTTGTCCGGTGAAAGCGTTTTGATATATTCAATATCTAGTTGCGTATGTTATCCGAGTACTTGGGATTTGGGTGGGGCGGTAAGCAGAGTTGGCTTTGAGGATTCAAATGCTCAAGACAAGCCGGAGAAAAAGTGTCTTTAGGCCCTAACGTGTAACCAATTTAATTCTATAAACTAAAGTCTTTTTTAAAACGACTATAAACTTTATAGCAAAATCATAGTATTTTAACTAGTAATGACATATCGTAACAACTAACTGGGGACCCGTGAAAATCTCCTAACATTCTTGATATCAAGTTGGTTGATCAACTCTCCGTAGTTTATACTCTCTAAGATTTCGTTCTCGATAGATATCATCCCCAAACCGCTAAGGGTGCGTTTGTTTCATAAGATTCCTAAGGAAAGTGAAGGAATTGGAAACTAGAATCCAATGGTCAACGTGTTTGGCTTACCAAATGAATGGAATCAAATTTCCATAATCATCTTTCAATTCCCTATTTGATTGATTTCTAATTCTTTCCCTGAACATGAAGAATCTATATTCAATTCAATATATTTTTTTTAAACCGACAGCTACCTTCCTATTATCAATACGATTTTGAAAAAAAAAAAATACGTGATTGTCATTATCCTTTCCACGATTATTGTCTCCCATCGATCACATATATTTCTATCTCTCAATCGGTATTGCAAAAGGATTCATCGACATCGACGATCGCTGTGAACCTGTGCTATCATCGTATCTTACTTGAGGTGAGTTAATATTCTATTTCTTTGTTGTATCCTTCATCCATGAAGATATGCTACTGTACTTCATCTCTTATCAGCAATCATCTTTGTTGTATTCACGATCTTTGATGTATACTTCATCTATGAAGATATGCTACTGTATTTCTTTGTTCAACTTGTGAACCTGTCGAATTCTTCTATTGTACTTCATCTTTGTCTTCTTTTACATGAAGTATCAACAATTATCTCTACAAGTATACATAATGGTTAATTTTGTGGTTCAGATTTATTGTTGGTAATGTGTAAAAACTACTTGTATAAGTATGCCCACCAAGTGTTTGTGTTTTTGCTTGTGTGGTGTTTTCTTTCTTTTTCCTGCATAACTTTTTTTTATTTTCAATACTTTTGCCATTTATGTTTGTTTTCTTTGAAAAAATGAGACAAAAATCCACAAAATGCGTTAAAATCCATAATTAAAAACCACTATATTCACCAAAATGTGTCAAATACTTTTGTCATTTATGTTTGTTTTCTTTGAAAAAATGAGACAAAAATCCACAAAATGTTTTTATGATTTAATAAAAAAATGACATAATACAAAATTCGTTTTCCAATTCCTTTGGGAAATTAGCAAACCAAACAGAAAACATATTTCATTCCATGTCAACCAAACGCATTTAAGTTTCTAGTACATTCAGATTCCAAGTCCTCCAGATTCCAATTCCTTTGACAAATTCCATTCCTTTCAAAAACATTCTGCGAACCAAACGCAACCTAAGTCTTTATTGGATCATTGTGGAGCGTAAGTAAGGTTTCAAAAACTTCAATTTCGAAAAACTCATTTATGCATATGACACTGTTACTACTGGAATAGTCAATAATATTCTATATTTAACGCTTGATCGTGTATCTTCAACATGTGATTCGTCGCTTCTGGTTTTGGTGCGTGGTGGAATGGTCGATTAGTTGGGATCTGGACTATCGTTTTGGGTTGAAAATAATATATATAAAATATGGCCCCCCTAAAAAAATTGGGTCATGTACAGATGCCCACTTTGCCCCCTTCAAAACCAGCCCTGCCGATAAGTTAGTTTATTTGAAAAGTTGCATGTGTCACGTATAAGCTAGCTTATATTTTTAGCTTATTGATTTATCACGATATACAGTTTAGTGAGATTATTAAAGTAGCTTATAAGCTGGGTTTTAATATATATATATTATATATATATATATATATATATATATATATATATATATATATATGAGATAACTTAGTCATAAGCTCATGGTACTTATTACACAAGTTTTCAAATATACTCCTATTTGTCAATTTATCTTTGTCATCTAGTTTATCAACTAATTTTTATCAAATGTTATTATTTATCAACTGTCAACTAGCTTATCATGTGAAAGCTAGTTTTTTGAGTAGGTTGCAAAACACATCACAAATGTGATTCATCGATTGTAAAAAGTTGCCTCGCAATGCTTTTTGGTATTGTTTTTAATCGTACAGGTTGGTAGATTGGTGTATTAGGTCATGTTCCAATGTTGGGGGAACATTTTGTTAGTTCATTGCCTAATTTAATGGAGTCACACGACTATCGAGTAGCCTGTTGCACCTTTTATTTTCGTTGTTACTTTTGCCCTGGTTGTATGCTCAAAATTTTGGCCCCATGTTCGTTTTGTATCCTTTGTTAAGGTTGAAGATATCCTTTCTCCCGTTGTTTTACTTTATCACTATCGTTTTAATTTGATGTTAGTTGTACCTTAAATTATTGTTACTCTTCCCTTGGAAGTTGGATCCATTTTAAGGCCCCAAAGTTTGTTTTGTTTTATTGGTTGAGGTTCATTGATAAATTGATTTGTCTTTTGAAAGCTTCAATGTGAGGCTACATAACTATGATGTTTCTTTTTGTTCCTAGTGCAAGTTCATAACCACCCACTACACCACCTCATACTTCCGGTAAACCACCCATCCCCCACCTTTCATAATCGATAACCACCCTAACCCTTACCTCCCACGATGGGTAACCACCCCTTCCACACCTCCCACAATGAGTAACTGTCCTCTCCCTCAACCTTTCATTTTCAGTAACCGCTAAACCATAAAACCTATATAACATAATCCTAAGGGTGTACATGAGTATTTTCGAATGGGTTCTTGTTGTTTTTAGTGCTTGTAAGACTAATAAAAGCCTTACTTTATGGCTAAAGAGGATATCAAGAAATTCAACAACATTCCTTTTTTTCTTCGTCACCTTCTTCTATTCCTTATTTTCTTTTTACCTCAAACCATATCATAAGTTTCCTTCATCCTCATATCATTTTGAAACTTTCTTTATTTTCTTGATCTTCGTGGCATTCCCGTTTTACATTCATGTTTATCGCATTAAGAGCTCAAGTAAGTTTGATATATCTTTGATTTTTTTTCTTTATTTTCTTGATCCTTATAGCAATTTCGATTTGTTGTAGGAAGCTAACAGCTAACCCGTAAGCTTGTGTTCATCTCTATCCTACTAGGCATGTAAACCAGTCTAGAACCGGACCGAAACCGAATAGTCATAAAGTAAGAAAAAAATTGACGAATATCAGTAACCGATTCGGTTTTATTCTATTAATAAATATGTTATCTAAGAAGGTGTTTGGAACTAGAACCGAACCGAACCGGAAACCGAATAAATTATAAACTAAGAACTGAGAACCTGACCGAATACCACTAATCGGTTTCAATCAGTTTCGATTCAGTTCCGGTTTTGATTCGGTTATTTGGTTAAAAAGATCATCCTACATCTCGCCTTCTTCTCAGCGGGTGTTTCTGATTTGTTTTAGGAAGCAAACATGTAAACCTTCTTCCTTTTTCATCTTCCATTAATTATTTTTGTTTTTTTTAATTAATTCTTATAATACGGAACCAATTTATTCTAATGATTATTTCAAACAAAATTAACAAAATTCATAATTATATAACATAAGTCTATTATTTACTAATTTGAAAAATCATCTACAACTCCAATCAAATTCACATATTTATGATGTTGTAGTTTGCATAAGTTTTAGAAGCATCTTGTAGAATGTTATTTCTTATAATATCTTTTATTTATTAATAACAAAACACATTTTATTCTTGATTTTCATTTGTAATTTATTTTGAGTTCATATATGTGTCTTACAATATCTTAATTTTTTTCATATAACAATTGCATTTCCATGGTTAATTGTGTTTCCGTTTTCTATTCTATTTAACTTTTTATTTTATTATACAATAAATCATTTTTCTCATTAATCTACACATAAGAACGCCACTCCTATCTTCAAAACATTTTAACTAATTTGAATAAACCATTATAAAATTGCACACAAAGTCATCTAAAATACACAAAAGAAATTAATAACTCTTTCAAAATCATTAAAGTATCAATATAATTTAATTTGTTAATTTTGGTTTGCACTATGTTTAAACCTAATTAATACTCTATTTGTCAAATGGGAATCGCTTGATCCCCTTCATTTCTTTGGAAACATCTATGAGGAAACTATTAACTGAAAATAAAAAATAAATTATTTGACATCCGCCGAAATGATGTTAATCTCCACAAAGAAAATAATAGCCGAAATAAAATTAATTTGTTGCTGCTGGAATGTATGGTTATTACGTACTAGGTGTGAGACCCATGTATTATATGAGTTTATTTAAAAAAAAAAAAATATAAAATTTTAACAATTTGAAAAGTTTAAATTTATAAGAAAAATGAGAAATTTTTTGAATTATTAAAATTAATGAGACTTTAATGTATTGAATACATTAGATATATAAACCTTTCTAATAAATACCTTACATATATATTACTTTACATATTAAATGTGAAATTTTAATTTAATAAAATGAAAAATACAATAAAATGACAAGTGGAAAATAGAAAATTTAAAAATTTTAGAAAATGCCATGTGTACAAACGAAGGAGAAGAAGACATGTGGCAAAAAAACCTTCATATATTAGAGTAGATTAGAGTAGATTATACTGGTGTTTTGATTAATTGCCCAAAAGAAAAATATAAAAATCGGATTGGGCTTGGACCAAACCATGCCTCAACCAGGCCCACGAGGACATTTATTGGGCTGGGATTTAGCTAGCACTGCTACGTTTTTGTTCGTTTTCGGTATTTCAACAATTTACCGTTGCACAAAAATTAGATGTAATGAGTGATTTTATTATATTATTTTTGTTTACTGAATTTTCTTTTCATTTCATCTAATCAAATAAATTTTTCAAAAGCATAATTTGTAACTTATTTCAAAAAAATAACAACACCATATTTTGATTTTATTCAAAGGTTGATCGCACGTTACATATTTTGATTATTTGATTTTCATTTCATCTAATCAAATAAATTTTTCAAAAGCATAATTTGTAACTTATTTAAAAAAAATAACAACACCATATTTTGATTTTATTCAAAGGTTGATCGCACGTTACATATTATAACTATAATCGATTATTTGATGCCTATTCATTTTGCTTCGTAAAATCATTTGTTGAAAAAAAAAACATAATAATAACTTAATATTATGAATAATAGATATGGATAAAGAAAATTTGATATAACAAATAGTATAATTTAAATTCGGGTGTCACTTCAAGAGCAACTCCCCTGTTTTGGATAAAGAAAACAGAACACAAAGCCACTTTACAAATCGCATCCACAACAAGAGGTGCTTCTTCCCACCGCCTACCACCATGGATTCCGTCATCTTCCACCACCCACTCTTCCCACCATTCACCACCACCACAAGACACACATCAACCTACGCACCTCCCAAGCCACCACCGCTTTCCGCCCACAAGACACTTACTTTCACTTGCTTGGCCCTCGGGAACGACGGCGGCGGCAGTGAGAACGGTTTGGGTTTCGGTGTTTCCGCTTCAGACGCTGGAGAACTGTTCTCTACGCCGGAAATTTCAGACGCTTTTATGACAGTCGATGCTGAGATAACCCCTGACACCATTAATTTCTTTGTTAGCGACGCTGAGGGTGATCCAGATTGCCCCTCCGACGGCTTCTCCTCCGTCGAGGACGCTCTTACCACTCTTCGAGAAGGAAAGGTTGGTAAACAAACATCCCCATCACCATAATTACACTTCACTTCTGATTACCATACATTTGAACTTATTTATTACTATTGAAATCAAATCTTTAAAAGTTTGTGATCGTTGTCGACGACGAAAATGGCGATATCGAAGGAAACTTCGTCTTGGCAGCATCATTTGCAACACCAGAAACCATCGGATTCGTGATCAGACACGGCTCCGGGATCATCTCCGTCGGCATGACAACTAACGATCTCGAAAGATTAAACCTCCCTCTAATGTCACCGGAAAACGAACACAAATCTTCAGCACCATCATTCACAATCACAGTGGTATTCTACTATTCTTCCATAACCACTTCGAAACATCAATGTGTCTTGTTCATTTCCAAAATTACTCACAATTCACTTTCTTTATAAGGACGCAATTGACACAGCAACCGGAGTATCTGCTTCCGATAGAGCAAAAACGATTCTTGCTTTAGCATCCCGTTCCTCCGGCCCTGAAAGTTTCAGAAGACCCGGCCATGTGTTTCCATTGAAGTACAGAAACGGCGGTGTTCTCCGACGATCAGGGCACACGGAGGCGTCCGTTGATCTTGTCAAACTTGCTGGTTTGGATCCAGTTTCTGTTCTTTCAACCATCGTGAATCCAGAAGATGGTTCTATCGCCCAATTGAATCGCTTACAAAAACTAGCACTTGATCACAACATCCCTCTTGTTCTGATCACCGATTTGATCAGGTAATCGTTCATATTTTATCGACTGATTGAATCCATTGGTAAATGTGATTCGAATTGCAGGTATAGAAGGAAGAGGGAAAGATTAGTTGAAAGAGTTGCGATTTCTAGGCTACCAACAAAGTGGGGTTTGTTTGAAGCTTATTGCTATCGATCAAAACTAGATGGAACAGAGCATATAGCCATAGTCAAGGTACAAAAGTCAACAATTTTCAACCCTAAATCAATTTCGGGTCTAATGGTTCGGATCTTTTGCAAACAGGGAGACATTGGAAACGGGCACGATGTGTTAGTACGGGTTCACTCGGAATGTTTGACCGGGGACATATTTGGGTCGGGTCGGTGTGATTGTGGGAAACAATTGGAATTGGCCATGCAGATAATTGAGGAATCGGGTCGAGGAGCCCTAATTTATCTTCGGGGACATGAAGGAAGAGGTATCGGGTTGGGACATAAGTTAAAAGCATATAATTTGCAAGATCAAGGTCACGATACTGTAGAAGCAAATCTCGAGCTCGGTTTTGCTCCCGATGCACGAGAATACGGAATCGGCGCTCAGGTGGTTAAACTCAAACTCTCTGATGAGTGTGAAATATATCAGACACATTGTACACATAATGTGTACAATGTGTCTGTTACATATCACACATATTGTGTCCAATTAGACACAATATATTTGATATTTATTTTGTGTTAGGCACAATATGTTTGTCAGCATATGCGTGCCTAATACAAACAGCATTGTGTTGTATTGCATAATGAATTTTTATTTATTTAATTTTTTTGTAGATGTTAAGAGACATTGGAGTTCGGACAATGCAGCTAATGACTAATAATCCGGCCAAGTTTACTGGGCTCAAGGGTTATGGTTTGGCAATTGTTGGTCGGGTTCCAGTATTGACACCCATTACAGATGAAAATAGGAGGTACTTTGAAACAAAAAGAACAAAGATGGGTCATATATATGGATCTGATATCCCTTTAATTAGTCCGAAAACATATAAAAATGACTCATCAGATGTGTCAGATACAAAGTTATGAAACTGACTACCATTTTGTTCGGACTATAATCAGATATGATTTTGAATTTCACACACATGTATCCACAATACTATTCAAATTGATATATTTGTACAAAAAAGTATACGAGATAATCCGATATGATTTTGCATTTCACACACATGTATCCACAATACTATTCAAATTGATAATATTTAAACAAAAAAGTATACGAGATAATTTAAGCAGTGACTGGTTAACCAAAATCCGACCCATTTTGTGACTCTTCTTGAAAGGTGATTTGTTTGGTGCCATTTTTGACACTTATAAAAAAACCAAGAATGAATGTAATCTTTTCCAAACCCTAGATTTCTTGATGACGCTTCAATCATACAATTTCCAGTGAGATTTTATATTGTTAAAACACAGGAGACAATCTTTAGATCGTTTTTAAGATTCTCATGTCGAATGATGTTACAACTTGACAAAAAGTATGAAATTGACATAAATGAAAATTATACAAAAACGATATAATAAAATCAGCTTCATGAAATCAAAATCCCAAAAACATGATATCACCAATTCACCATATACACCCCATCATATTATATATCAAAAACCATTTACAAAAAGTAAAAGTAAAAATTTCAGAACTTAACGTAACCTTTGCCTCTTTCCAATCGTGCCAAAATTACTAGCACCAGGGCAACCTATCATACTCCCTTGAAAATTACTACCAAAATTAACATCACCAAAACTCAAAACACCACCACCACCACCGCTGCCTCCGCCGCCACCACCACTGGAAACCGCCATCATCTGAGAAGAACTCCCGCACCCCATTTCAGCATACGGTTGCGACTCTTTCATCAAAAACTTAAAAGGACTTCCCACATCCTGTTTTTGAGTTGTAGGAATATGATCCGATGCAGCCACCATTGGTGGGATGTGGAAAGCTTGCAACGGTGGCGGATTCCGCCACCTAGGAAGCGGGCCCGCTACAAGCAGTGTCTGCAAAAGCGGGCCCGCTTCCAAAACTGTTTGTAACAATTTCCCTTTTTGTGGCAAACTCTTGCCTCTAATCATCCCATCCATCATCAAAGTAGCTTGATCCACTTTTGGTACGTTATAATCTTGAACAAATGGGGTTTCAACATTGATATTAGAGAACTCGGGAGATGGAATTGGGTCAAAAAAAGAGTCAACGGGAGATGAGCTATGATTGTATGCATCCGAGAGGCTATTTGATTCGGTGATACTTGAATTTGCTTTAGTGGGTATCATCATTGGGCCTTGATGATGTTGAATTTGATCGTTCATGAAACAATTAGGGATTGAAGGGTTTGTAGGATTGAAGATTTGTTGTTGGTCATTTGTTGGCATAATCTTGATTAGTAGCTTTTGAAGTTGATCTTTTGCTTCATCTCTTTCTTCATAAGCAATCTTTAAAAGTTGTAACACTTGTTTCATCGATTCGGTGTTTCTTTTCATTTTTTCATCCGTTTCGGCTTTTACTGCTTCCAATTCAAGTGTCGTGTACAAAAGTTTTTGTTTGAGTTCATCGACGTTCTGCAATTTCAAGAATTTCAAGATATCGATTAGTCGAATTCAAATATTGTTTAAAGATTAGCACATAAAATCGATTACATAAATTAGAATAAAATGAGATACTGTTAAATTAAGTATGACAAGTCAAAAGTGACTTTTATACGGTAAAAGGGACCGATGATCGGATCCCAAGGGCCCATAAACACCTAAAGGCAGACCATATACCGATCAACCAACAATCTTGATGTGGTAAAAATGACATTTTGATTATAATATTTATCGTGTTTAATAACAATAAATGGTTAAGAGAAATCAACATCAAAGACTTCTATTGCCACAAGGACTATATATCATATTTTATCACTACATGAACAATAATATGATGGAGAATGTAAAAGTTTTCAAAAAGCCAAGAAAAAGTGGACAGAAAAGACACTTTTTTTATAACTAAAAAAGGATCGAAAATAAATATACCGAAATTCATAAAAGGAAATAAGAAATCGACAGTAAAAATGTACAGAGTGATACAAATATGTATCGTACAAATAATTATTGCACGAATGTTTCTGATAAACAGAGCATGCAATCAAACTTATATGAATCTTTTTGCACAATTAAACCACATTAATGTGACCAAAAATCCACAAGGATTTCACAATTGAGAATTTCAAGAAGAATCTAAAGAAAAATGTCCCTTTTTTGTGTAAAATGGTTTCACAGGGTTTCTGAAGAACAGAGGGCGAGTAAATTCTGTAAATTTGCGCAAAATTTACTCCAAAAATCATCGAAAAACTATTAAATTGACCAGATTTTAGTTCAAGAGGGAATCCAAATGAACCAGAAACACAATCAATTAACATATTGTCAAAACGCCAGAAGAGATACCTTGAAATCTGAATTTAATATATGGTTTAATCAGAATCTGAAGAGAAGATCACCATCTTAAAAAAACCAATTGAAATAACTCCCTAATTAACGAAACGCCCATTCCAAAATTCAATTAAATTGATAATCAATGCAAGTAATCCACAAATTGGTTAAACCCCAGAAGTGAAACGTCGGATTTTGAGCTCAATTTGTAGTCAGTAAAACTCAACAATGGCGGAAAAACCAGTATTTATCGCGAAAAACAACGGTATATACTCAAGAACTAAACATCAAACAAAGAATGAATGATGAATCATAACCCACCTCTTGATAACTCCATAAAGATGAAAATTCATCCATTTTTTTGTCTCGTTCTCTCTTTCTTCCGTGGTGATTGTGTGAAAAGAAAGTAAAATCTTGTGGGGGGGAGTTTGGAGAGAGAAGGGTGTTGAGTCTTTTATAGAACATAGCTCTCTATATAAGACAAGACAATGGGGAGAAATTGTTTTCTTTTTCTTTTTGAAAATAAAAAATAAAAATTCGGTGGGTTTTATTTTTCTTTATTTTGGAACTTTTAGAAAATTGGTTCCATTTTTTTAGGGCAATTGTCTGTTGCTAAAGATAATACCTCTAACGGTTTTATGAATAATTAATACGGGGTTTAAATTTTACATTTTAACAAAGGTAAGTTGCCATTAATAACACCAATCATTAAATATTTGACTTTTTTTTTACCATAGAATTAGTTACAAATTTGAAAGTTTATAAATTATAAAAATTGATTTTTATTCGACATATAATTTCTTTTTTAGTTTTATAAAATAATATTCACGTAATATATTTTATTTGTTATTTTTAACTTTTTTATGAATTTTATTTAATTAAGAGACATAGTCAGAAAACTAGTGAGAATGTTTTAGGGTCGATAGTGGGGTCCACTTGCATCTTTCTATTTGCTGACATGGCTATATTTTATTGGATAAACGGGGTTGTGAACATGCAGACGTTATTGCCACCGTCTAATAAATTTGACGCTTTCTACTTCAAAAAGAAAACGCTTGTATGATGTTTAAAGAATTTTTAAGAATTAATTTTAAATAAACTAAATTATTTAAACAAATTACAGAATAATGATTTTAATAAGTTTAACAAAAGAAAACAATGATTAAGATTAAAAGTAGTTACAAACAATTAAAAATGTTAATATTTTATGATACCTTATCTATCACGACTATATTGATTCTATCACGACTATATTGATGAACTAGTATATAATCCGTGGAAACCACGGTTACAAAATTAATTCATTTTGATAGCAAAAATTCATAATTATTAATCAATTACTTTAAATAAATAATTTTAAATAAATTATTAATTAAAAGATATACCAAAATTTTAAAGTTAGTTATAACTTCAAATTTAACATATAATAAAAAAATAAATGTTTCTATAAAAAGTTTAAAATCTATTATTTAAAACATTAACCTCATTAATTGTGATAGCGATGGTTTGCGGTATAATTTCATCTACAGCTAAGTTTAAGTTTGATAGTTTGTGGTATAATTTAGTTTTGTTTTTAAACCACTTTTTTGATTGCTACTTAAATTACAATAATATCCAAGTCTTATAAAAGTACAATAAACACATTTTGATATAGAATTATGATAGCTATAGGTACATAATAGTTTTTCTCTATTCACAATAATTAATTTATGCATTAAAATGTTGTATTGTATAAATTTATAAAACATAAATTGTTATATATATAAAAAAATAATATTATGTACAAATTAATTCCTAAAAATTATAGACAATCAATTATTTATTTGAAAATATGAAGAGTGCTTCTGTCAAGGACATCTAACATAAGAAAATATAAGTCCACACTAAATGATCTCATGCACTACCGTTAATGGATGATAAATAATGGTGTATGACTAAGGAAAAAACATATAAATGACATTAAATTGTTATCTTTATGACGCATAGATGGTATTTAATATGTAGGAACTCTTTTAAATGATTGGATTATAGTGCTCGGTTAAGTGTGATAGATAACATTTAAAACATATGTTTTGAGAAAAGCATTTATATGATATAGAAAATTACAAGTCTAAAAAGACCAATTTAAGGTTTCTACAAACATATAGGGATATCGTGAGTGAGTTTGCATTCTACTAGTGTAATTTAAATTATTTTGGACTTATATGGTTATATTTGGTTATTTGTGTAATGACAATACAAGTTCGAAACCGAAGGTTGTTTGGAATTATATTCTATATAAAGATAAAGAAGTGTGATTTCATATGATTTACTAAAAAAATGAATCGCGCGTAAAAAATGATACTTTACACGTGTTTTATGCTAATTGTATGTAATGTGGGTTTTGCAAGTTTATTGGATATTTAATTTAATTTCTCATTTTTGTTAAGTTAAGGTTTAGTTCATATTCTTCAAAATTAATCCAAATTTAATACATCTTAAATCTCAATTAGTCCATTATTAATTGTCCAATATGCCACACAATCTGTGTCACTTCTTTTCCGGTTAGCCAAACGAGTTTGTCATGTTTGTTTTAAAAGGTCACTCATTTATTTATTTTTTGTATAAAAATGTAACATCTGACTTTTTTTACACAAAGTACACCCAAAAATTTTCATTTTTTATTAAATAAAACACATTGGTGTACACTTACATTAACAATCCAATACAAATAGTTATCAATATGTCCGATTCAAAAAAAAAATTAAATACAATATCACAATCTCTTTTCTTCTTTTTTTTGCTTATATAAATTTACCTGCAAAACACATATCACAAAAATGATAAGCTACAAAGAACTTAGTGAATAATCATTATTTCAATCCACATAATAATCATAACTCAACCAGTTTCTCTAAATACAATAGTAATGGACTTACAACTACTCAAGCTGCCATTAAACTTTCACAAGATATTCATTCTTGTTCTCATTCTTTACATTCTCTATACTTATTCTCATTTTCTTTCTCTACTCTCTCTCTCTCTCTCTCTCTCTCTGTAATTCTTGGTTCCTGGTACGCATTTAATTATAGTTTATTCACTTTTGTAGAGCAACTCGACGAGTTGGGAGCCTCAAACTCGTCGAGTAGAAACCAGAGTTGACGCGGGATTTTAAGTCACCTACTCGACGAGTTGAGAGCCTCAACTCGACGAGTAGAGCTGCCAGGATGAAACCCTAATTTCGGGGTTTTGCACCCTATTTAAGCATCCCAATCCCCACTTGCTGGCCTCATTTCCATTCCAAGTCTCAAACCCTAGATTCAGAAACCCTAATGCATTTGTGAGCTTGTGAGCCATTTTTGAGTGAATCTTGGTGTGTTTTGAAGCTTGTGAGGGAAGGAGAAGCTTGGGGAGACTCACTAAGCTTCGTGTTTACAATTTTCAGTTTTGGTTTCAAGTACTTCCGCTAGTAAGGGGAAGAGCTCGGGATGACTGCATCGCACACACCACATCGTTTAGACTGGGATGATTTACTCTGATATTTGGACATGTGATTTTGATATAGTGTTTTGATATGATATTTTGAGATATTATCACTTATGTTTTTATGAGATGATTTGGATTAATATGGTTTTATTTATAAATTAAAATGAAAATTTTGAACCGTATTTTTGGGATGTTTCACTCTCTCTCCCTATCTACACATACCTGGAACAACTAGATTAACATTTAACAAATCATCGGGTTCGTAATAGCACCATATCTCGAAATCCCATAACACATACTCGGGTCTAATATTCTCTACAAAATATCATATAACTGTAGGATAAAATATACCTCTGATGTGTGTGGAATGCACTAGTTTTAATCCTACTTTTTAATATAAATTAGACACACAAAAGGCAGTGAACCTGTCGATTGGTGGTATAGTTTAGCAAGCAGGGTATCGAACACAGGGAACGATAATTAAACTAATTACTAATATTATCTAAAAACAAGCAATAAAATAAAGGGTTTTCTCTAGTTTTACAAGACTAGAAAACTTAAGTACTTAACTAATACTCAACTAAGCAACTAACAACTAAGCAAATGAAAATCAACTAAATTCAATAATAGGAAAGACTTCTGTTTAGGTTTTGAATCGTTTATTCCTGTGGTTGATTTTATGACAAGTGCAATGGATTAATTAGCATTGGCTACCGATTAGTGTGATTAGGTTCACGTTCGCTATTACTAATCCTTAGAAAACAAATCAATTTAAGCAGTGATCAGGTGATTAAACTAATTAATTTCCTAGTTTATTGATTCGGGTTAAGTAAGACTTGTAATAGTTAATCAAATTGCTAATTGAATTAACCTCTTGTTGATGGTTCGTCACACAAGCTCACACATTAATTTTCCTATTTTCTAGTTAACCCTAGTTTCACGTTCGCTATTCCTAGGCATATAACCATGTTTTCACACAAATCATATGAGATTAGCAATTAAGAGGTGTTCATGCAACTTAATATGCTGGTTAATTAACAGAAAATAGTTGTAATTAACACATAAGGTTCTTTAACAAGCTTAACAAAACAAAATTACCAAATTAAATTAATCCAATCATAAAATCAAACCATATTCATAAAGTCATCTATCCTAAAAGAAGTTATGAGTTTTTAGCTCATAATTAAAGCAGAAAACAACTCAAAAATGAAATCAATTGATGCAAACATAGTTTAAACAAAAGATTAAGTAACGAGTACACTTGAATTGCCTTGATCTTCCCAAAATCGAATGATTAGACTTGATCTTCGAGTTCCAGAGCTCCAACAGCAACTTAAATCGTAAATTATCCCTCAAGGGTTCCAGAGAGATCTCTCAAATCCGTGAATTAAAGCCCATTATATAGTTTCTGAAAACAGGGGCTACTCGTCGAGTCCATATACCGACTCGGCGAGTCCACCACTTAAAATCCGTATTCGATAAGGAATCTTATTTGTTCGCGAATCTTCGAGCCTACTCGGCAAGTAGGCACCCAACTCGCCGAGTTCTTCAGGGTTTTTTCTTTCTTTTCTTTCTTTCATCAATTCCCGAGCTTCCTATCGCTTTTTCTGCTTCCTTTTGCTTCCGAGCTCATCTTTTAGGCTACAAATACATTTTAAACATATTTAAGTACCTTTTGTTCATAATTTGCAATAAAATAGCCAAAAAGCATTAAGATTTAACACAAAATATATGACTAATTATGCACATATCAACCTCCATAAATCCCGTAACTCAACCCCATATCTCCTGTTCAACGGTATATCTTCTTCGTTATAACTCCTGAAAACGACTCCCGAGCAGCATCTCCGATCGGACGTGCCAAAATCTCTAAAATGACACGAAATGCTTGTATTTATACTCTGAGCATCGCCACGTCATGATCGTATATGTGCCACATCGTGGTGATCTAGTGAACCCTGATTTCGC